CACAGGCCCCAACCGGGGCTGGGGATGAGCCTGCAACCGCGGTGCGTGTCCTTGCCTGGAATCGAACCCGGGACCCTTCAGTTCGAGGGCCGATGCTCTAACCACTGAGCCAAACGGGCTAGGGCGCAAGAGCATTATTTCTAAAAACCCAATGTACATGCCACAATTAAAACTACTTCCCTGCTAAAAAATTATAAGCATTGTCTGAGCCTTCAGGAATTGCAATCTTTTTGCTGGTGGAGGTCTTACCTCCACGTTGATAAAAATGCAGTATCGGCAAAGCACATAAGGTGAAGCACTGTAAAGCGAGGTCTGCCTGTACTTCTGGGAAACTTTCTAAACTCTAACTATGAAGACCAAGTAGGGCTGGGGAGAGGGGAGACTCCTCTGGCGGCCACAGTTCAGCATGCTCATCTCTAGCAGCTTGGCCTCACCAGGCCCTGACAACTGCGGGGACCCAGGAAACGTGTCCACGCTGTCGGAACAGGATGTGGCACGGTAAGCAGCAGCCCCAGGATCCAGGTGCAAGGCTGTGAGCAGAACTGCTTTGGGGACATCTCCAGCCCGCCCCTGCTGCACTACCACCCCTTTTTTGTGGTCAGATCAAATACTTCTTTTAAAATTCCATTTTAACTTTCAAAGAGTTCCACCTGAAACTCAAACCAAATCTGTCCTATTCAAGTCCAGTTTACTTTATAGTCCATCTCTACAATTCAGAAGACACTGGCTCGCTTCCCCAAAGGAGGTGTCAGCAGTTGAGACAATGGTTAGTTTCCTTTTCCTCTTCTCTGCTCTTTCTCCTGCACCAGCGTAAGAAATATTTTGAGCAACTGCGCCTCCTCAGTACATAGTATGTGCATACAGGACAATATTTCAAAGGTATCACAGTGACCCCAGCTCTCCTCCCCAGGGCTGATTAATCCTTGCTCTCCTTTTCGTGACATGAAATCTGGAACTACAAACACTCTTCTGCACAGTAAGTGGCCTAGAGAGTAAGTGGTGAATGTACTTGGGAGAAGATTCTGAATGATGAACTGGAACAAAACGCCAGCCTCTTCTAACCTGAACAACTGTCTTCCTTTGGGGCACAAACTGTTATTTGTAATCAAGAAAAAATATTGCCCATTTGTTTAACGTTATAAAATTAGGCTCAATTTAGCAGTTAAGTCTCTGAAACATCTTGTTCAAACAACAGTACTTGTTTATTTCAGAGAGTGGCCTTGTACTCAGTGCCAGCACTCCTCAGTTTTGGATATTAGGTAAAGAAAGGGTCAGAGCTCTTTTGGATTATCTGGTCATAGTTTATTGATGTGTTTAGATAATAAATGAGATAAATCTTGAGGTCAAGGTATGCACTGATGAGTACAAGGTCAGGTGACCTTCACTTGCCACTACCCAAGTGGGGGGAGACAGGGAGGGTGCCGGGTACTCAAGGAAGAATGACCCCCTTCAGGAGGATTTCAGAATCTGTGAGTGGAGGGTCTTTTAAGACATTACATGTGTCTCCTTCCCCTTTATCGGGGGTGAGCAAATTACAGGCCAAATCCTTCTGACCACCTGTTTTTATAATTAAAGCTTTATTGGAACATGGCCGTGATCATTTGATTTTGTCATATCTAAGGCTGCTTTCAGAAGGGCAGAGTGGAGTAGATGTGATAGAGACCATATGGCCCACAAAGTAAAAAAGATTTATTATCTGTTCTTTAACAGCAGCAGTTTGTCACCTCCTGCCCTAGATACTTCCTAAGAATCGTTCCACAATGAGCCACCATGACCAAATAATGTGTTCTTTTCCTCAGTGCTATAGAGCCAGGCTTGCTTGTCCCTACTTTGGTTACCAGTAATGAAGATGTGGCTTAAACAAGATACTGTCTCTCTATAAAGTCCAAGGCTGACTGATACTCCAGTGTCTCGAGACCCAGGCTGCACTCCACGCAGCTTCTACTACCAAGGTCACACTGCTGTCCAGACTGGTTGCCAAAGTACCAGCCAATATATCCAATCCAGGTGGCAGGAAGGAAAAAGGACAGCCTCAGCCCAACTTTTAAGGAGACCTCTGGAAATACCACTGAACGTTTCTTATAAACCACTGGCTGAACTTGTCCACATAGATACACCGAGTATAGACTTTTCGTTGGCTGACAAACTGCTTAGATTAAAAAAAAAAAAAATCAAAACTATGTTATTTTTAAAACATAGGGTTGGATATTGAGAGGTGATCAGCAATCTCTGCCAAAGGAACCGCACTCTAGTCATCAAGCACCTTATTAAGATAGGCAGGCGCTCTGGGCAGGGTAATCATTTGGCATAGCTCCAAAATGAGAGAACTTAAATGTTTGCTTAACATTTATTTTAAGAGACAGTATGATCAGTGATACAAGTATTTTTTGGCCGGTTGTTTGTTTTCAAATTTCCAATCAAAAGTATTGTCTTCTTGCCTGGCTGGCATCGCTCAGTGCCCCATGAGCGTCGACCCATGAACTGGAGATCATGGTTCGATTCCTGGTCAGGGCACATGCCCAGGTTGCAGGCCCGATCCCCAGTAGGGGGCAAGTAGGAGGCAGCCAATCAATGATGTTTTTCTCTCATTGATGTTTCCTCTATCCCTCTCCCTTCCTCTCTCTCTAAAAATCAATAAAAGCATATTTAAAATATATATATATATTTAAAAAAAGATACTGTCTCCTCCAGAAGGAAGTAGACAAATTCTCCTTTCACCAGTTACCATGGGTTGTGTGCAGACCTGAGTTAATCCAGTACTCCTACACAGTCCAGTGATTTTGTCTTTAATGGACTGTCTGCCTGGTCTGTCCCTGCATCCACAGGACCCCGATACTCCCCCACTCCCCCTGCATTCTCTCCTATTAACATGCGCTTTCCATTTACTCTCATCACTACATCCCGGGCAGTAACATCCCACAGTGACCTTTAGGCTCTGGTCATCTCCAACCAGGAAAGGACAGGCTACTCATGTCACTTTTAACAGTGGTAACACAAGAGGCAGAGGTGGATCGAAGTCAATATCAGGAAGCAAGAGCTTGAGAATAAAAAATTAAGAATGGATTCTGAACCCTTGATTCCAGACGGTTATCTGTGTATTAAACAAGAATGGAAAACAATGATAAGTCATGTGCTCTTGGAAACTTCTTTCTCACATGAAAGTACAGGGCCGAATGGGTAGCTATCATGTTAGGGACGCAGGCTACTCTGTACATTCAGTCTATTTTCTGTAAAGTTAAGAGACTTATCATCTGCAAGCTCCAAAATATATTTCAAGGCTGCTAAACAGACAAAATCAAGTAGAATGGGAGGTAGCCAAGAGAAGAACCATACAGGGTGCCATCTCTCTGAACACAGTCCGAACCACCAGCAAAGGGACATTTCTCCCCACTGAGGGTTATACTCGGCAAAGCCTATAACACCAGTAAGTACTGAAACCGGAGTCAGCGAAGGCGAATCTTCTGTTTGTAACACGGGTAGATTTGGGGTGGGAGGCAGACCTACAAAGATTCAAGGGCTGGATGAGCCATATTTAAAGAGAGTTGGTTTCTTGGAGGTGGAGGAAAAGATAGCCTGACGGTTGGGTTGT